TCCTCTTAAAGGGGCCAAGTTTGGACAACGCTGGCCTAACCCAACACCATTTCTATTTAACACTGCTTGCTTTTGCCACTGTATCAAATCTTTTTATATCTGAACATTGTTTTTTCTGGCTCCAAAGCGGAAGCTTTCTGATCTTCCAGTTTATGAACCTGTCCTAAGTTGTTATCTGTCTTTTAATAATATTTCCTTTTCTGTGTTCATGGTTAATATTTGTTTGGGTCTCTGGTATTTGAATGACAAGGTTCATTTGCCCATGTTTTTACAGCCCTTAGAAAGCCTGTAAGCCCTGAGGAAACTCGATAAGATGTTTTTCTCTTCTCTCCTGTTAGTTCTGAAGCTTGGTGGGATTCTAGGGAAGCCTGAAATAAATCTTTCATATCGCTGGAAAAGTGACTAGTCCTCTTGGTTCAACGCCAACTGAAGAATCGCTCTTACAGCGCGCTGGCTTCGTTTCTGTTTGGAACTGCTCTTGGACTTTTTACTTGAGACTCAAAAAAATGAAACTGTGATTTGGGGTTTGATGACTGATTTATTTTATAATCATAGAAATACCTTGTATTAGTTTTCCCTACATTTTCGTTGATATCTATTTTGTAGTTTTTAAAAAATAGTACAGTAAGAAGTGAATGTATTTTATACTTATGCCTGTAGTAAAGAAAGTCAGAAGTTACTTTTTTCTTTTTCCGGTCTTCTCTCTTTTTCTCTTTTCTTCTCTTTTCTGTTTTTCTATATTTTATTCTTCGCTGAAATTTAATAACGTTCTTAAAAAAAAAAAAGAATCACCCTTACAGTCCCATGACAAACGCCAGGAAGGGCGTCAGTGCCAATGAAGTATGACCTGACACCTTATTATTCCTTAAATTTGGTTTTCCAAGTTTTGCCTTAGAGGCAAATACAAATGATTTATACACTTCTAGGACTTGGGCCTTGTGCAAGAGAGCCAGCACAACCGCTGTGCATAGTTCATGTCCCAGTTTCCATCTTAGCCTTTTCCATTTTTATGCCGAGATGGAAATGTTTTTGTTGTTGATTTATGGCTCGGGCTTTGTTGAGTTCGTATGCAAAAATTTTAAAAAGCAAACAAGAATGCAAATAAAAGAGGCAATGAAATAAATCAACACTTGATCTATATTTATTGGCTTCCTACTAAGGAGTTAATTAGGGATTATATTATGTAATATAAACCCTAAATAAGACACGTTGATAAGAATTTAACCTAATTCTCTTCCTTCTTCCCTCAATCTTCTCTAGTTCTGTGCCTGCATTTTGCTTCTTCCTTTTTAATTTAAACACGCTCACAGATATTTAAAATATACTTTTGTGTTTCTGCCAAGTTAGTATTGACAGTATTAATTATTTATTCAGGAACTCTTTTTCTTGTTCCAAGAAAAACATTCCAAACCTTCTTTCTAATTTTATAAACAATGCTGGCATATCAAGATAAGCTTTTTTTAAAAAATTGACACACGCTTCTCAGGAATTTAGGCTGCAAGCTTAACGTATACTCACTAGAATACATTTCACACCATGAATCTTCCTTGAGTGTAAACATGGATAAAATAGCAGCGTTAAGGTTCATTGATGCCCTCTGGATATGGCCAGTCCGTGGATGCGTTAGGAATTAACTTGCCGTCCTAAAACACTCACAAGCGAAGGAATCTGAACGCTGTGAAATATACTTCTGAATGAATAAAGTTAAGACTGATGTTAGCTGAATGGATTCATTTCAGATCTGGCCAGCCAGTGGGGAACATTTTCTGACAGCTCAGCCCAAATTTCATTCAGTCTCGATGAAATCGTGTGGGAGAAACAGTTGCTTCTTATTTTATCCATAAATGAAATTTGGGGGGAACTGTTGTGTGCTGAATAGGAAGCAAATTAAAAAGACTTTCCTGACTTTTATATGAATCTCTCCAGCCGTGCTCAAACCCTTTGGCTCTGGTCTTGTTTATCTATCCCCTTGGAGCTGCACGCCTGGGGTGCGGGACGGGCGGGTGATCAGTCGGTGTATCATGCATATCCACTCATTTTCTGCAGAATTCATTTGACTGCTTAGCACATGGAAATCAGCCAACCCTGATTTAATTTCAAGCAGCAGAAGAAGCTGTTTTTGCATGAGATCAGGCGATTTCCCCGTCCGCTTCAGGCTCATGTGTTCCCGAGAAGAGTTTTCTCCCTCCCACTCCCCATTACCTGTCTCGGGGATGCCTTTATGCCCGTAACTGAACATGGCTCTTCCTGCATGTAAAAGATAAATCTGTCCCACTCCCCCTTTCTGGCTAAAAAGGTTATTTAGGTCTAGGTTGATGTTTTAATCAAGAAATCATTGTTACTGGCTTGGAGAAAGACTCGGGAACAAATACCAAAGGGCAACTTTCAGCCGCTTATGCAAACTCCCTTGTTTTTTTCATTTCGGGCAGAATCTGATGCAACGCGCATTGTGACAGCATGGCACGGTGACAGCTACTGCGGAGATTCAAGTTGAAATTATACGGGCAGCTGGACTGAAATCAAGGCAGAGCTGGTCGCGCTCCTTGGCAAAGCATGCCCCAAGGATCCCACAGCAACGCCTTCGCCGAGCCTACGAGCAGATGCCACCGGACGCGGGCGCAAAGGAGAAACCCACCCTATCCAAACCGCTCCGTCAGAATCTGCATAACCCATTTAAAAGAAATGATGCCCCCCCCAGCCCTGTTAGCCACCCAGTAGGATTTGTCGCCAACGTTTCTGCGGAGTTTCCAGGCCCCTCCTAAAGGCAGCTTTGCAGAAGGAATGAATTGAGCATCCTGGAGAGAGGAAAAAAAACCAGAGGAAGCCTTACCTTCTGAGGCGGCGGCAGCCGTGACTGCAGAATACAACACGAGGAGAGCGAAGCCGTGAAGACATCCCATGGCTTCTCTGGCAGATGGGCTGGAAAGATGCCGCGTGGATTGTTCGCAATTTCCAACCTGTTCCACCGTTTTTATACCGGAGGAAAGCTTTCCCCCATCACCCCTCCTGGCCATAAACAGGGAGATGGGAACTCCTCCTCTTTTTAATTCCTTCAGCTATAAAGTATGATAACCATCTGGTCCTCTTTCAGATTTCTGCATTTCCTCCACACCCCTTAATAAGCCGCTGTCAAAGGAGCAAAATTCTCGGAGTTGCCGGTGTCATGCCTCGAGCAGATGACGGGTAACTTATTAGTTAAGGAAAACTTTTCCTTTCTTAACTCATTCCGCTTCCTCACCTGCAGTCTCATCGCATGATAAGCAGAAGGATTCTCTGCTCATTTCTGGGCCTTGTGTAGTTTCGACCTGTTTTTATCAATTTTTAATATATCCAGGGTGTGTGTGTGTGTGCATGAAAATAAATAAAATGAAGATATGAGTGTGTGTGTGTGTGTGTGTGTGTGTAGAATAAAATCATGAGGAAAGTTGAAAGAGGCTTCCCGCCAGGTTTCAAAGATTCACCCAGTGTGGTTTATGTCATGTCCTTCCAAAAAGGAAGATCAGCAACAATGACATACTTGATTTAATGTATTGGGTTTGTAAAGCTGCCCAGTTTAGGTGACTCTGGGCAAAGTACAATATTAAAAATAAATAACAAGAAACACTTATCACAAGATGAAACAACACAGAAGGCTTGGCATACCCTCCCCCCAATAATGAGAGTGAACGTTAAGCAGCTGAATGATGGGACGCCAGGTTATTCCCTCTTTTAAGTGGAATGCTGCAAATGGTTGCAAACAGCTGAGCCCACCTGGTTGGGGATGCGTGTATAAGAGCCGGAGGAACAGGCTTATCCCTTTCCCCACCCTTCACGGGAGTCTGCCCATTGTGCACCTGCATGAGTAGGTGGACTTTCCTCCTCCCAGGAAGTGCTGAATCTGTGCACTGCTGCCCCCAGTGGCATGATGTGGAACAGCAGGTTGCAGCTTTCTCCAGATGTTGCTCTGGTCCTGGGATCCCGTCTGCTCCCTTCGGCTGGTCTTCCATAGACGTCTTCCCGCTTCAGTTTATATGTGAATAATTCTGTGGAGCCGGTAATGCAGCTGTGGGCCAGCATCTGTCGGCTGACCTTTGAACCCAACATTTGGCTTCTTTTCTAGGCTCTGATTTAGTCAGTTTAGTTTTAGGTTAATGGCTGGTTAACCTGTTTAGGTTAATGGCTGGTCCCTTCTGTTTTGGTTCTGTTCTGGACATCCTACATCCCTACATCTTTTCTAGTTTAGTTTTGCTGTTTTCTGCTCCTGCTGTTTTAAGAAAAAAAGCCTCTTCCCATTTCCCTTATTTTATTTTTAGGTTTTGTTTTTGATTCAATAAATTCAAGAAAGAAAGAAAGAAAGAAAGAAAGAAAGAAAGAAAGAAAGAAAGAAAGAAAGAA